ACAACGCTGTATGTAAAGCTGGAGTGTCCTCTCCAGGGCACGAAGCCTGGGTAAAATAATATGGAGGACAAGCTGTTACCCAAGCAGCAAATCCCCCCTCTCCATGTCACTGAAATAGACCAATGGAAAGGCAAGAGCCAATACAACTGGTTCCAGCAACATCACAGGAGTTGCCAGAATGACACAAACTGTCTCCAGGACTCCGGCTCCGGATTTTGCCTGGAGGTTGACTCCTGAAGCCTTTTCCATTAATGGATATAGCCACAAGGCAGTGGAGGTTTGAAATCGGAGTTTTCCTCCTCCTAGATGGGCTGCCTTCCAGGGCTGATGAGCTCCAATTACCTGGCCTGCTCCCTCACAGCATGGAGGCAATGGCAGCACCTCAGTGGGGGTTTGAAGTCACAGTTTTCCTTCTAGATGGGCTGCCTCCCAAGGCTGACGAGTCCCACCTACCCGGCTGGAACAACTTAGGAGTTCTTGATTATCCCATAAGCTGTTGGCTTTTTAAGGACACTGTCTAGGGTCTCAGGGCGGCTAATGTCAAAACAGATTAAAACAGCATCTGAATCAGGATAAGCAAGTGGGCACACCTTGTCAAACGGCTTGGGCCCTGGATACTTGAAGGACCGCCTCCTTCCATATGAGCCTACCCGGCAGTTAAGATCTTGCCAGGGGGCCCTTTTGAAAGAGCCATCCCTCAAAGAGGTAAGAGGGAGGCCTTGTAGAGAAAGGGCCTTTTTGGCAGCTGCCCCCAGACTATGGCACGCCATCCCAACTGAAATTCATCTGGCGCCGACGTTGATGACATTTCGGCGCCAGGTCAAAATCTTCCTGTTCCAGAAGGCTTTTAATTGAAATAACATCAACTGTGGGTCCTGATGATGGCAATTTTAATTGTATTTTAATTGTATTTTAATCATTTTATTGTACTGAATTTTAATTATTGTAAGCCGCCCAGAGACCTCTGGGTAGAGTGGGCGGCATATAAATTAAATAAATAAATAAAAATAAATAAAATAAAGAGTCAGTAGAAGCTTCTATGTGATTTTTGATGTCTCTTAAGTACCTGAGGAGAAGTTTCCTAGGAACTGTTCTCCTTATGGGTGTATAACTCAGATGTCCAAAACTCAAACTTCACCAAATTTGCGGGGCTTGTAGAGAAGAGTCAGGGGAAGCTGCCCTGCATATTTGATACCTCAAAAATGCATATATTTGTAATTTGTGATTCATCAACCTTGAAAAACCAGAAATCAAAATGAATCACCATTTTTCTGATTCATGCCTATCTCTAATGTGGAGCAAAAAGAATTAGCATGTAGTAACTTTTTTCTGTATCTTTCTGAAGACATTAATGGTATCCAACATTGTTCCCATGGTTAAAGGAAAGAACCTAGCCTAGCTCATAACACTGCCCTCTTTGCCCTCAGTTTGAGCAGTGACGATTGTGAGAAGGAGAGGTTCCTCTACGCTCAAGCAAGAACTCAGACTCTTCATGGGTTCTGACCTGTGTGTAGCGCTAACATGCAGACAGGAACCTTTCCTCTTCAGACAGCTTGCTGCTCATATTGAGAAAGTGGTGACAAAGTTGGTGGTGCAAGGACACCTGAACGTCTGGAATCATGCACCAGAATATTATTAGGATTTCTGGCCTTGTTATATCTTTCCAAATGAATGTTAATGTCTGCTGTTCTTTAAAGGCTTGAAAATAGTTGGGAGACTGGTTTTTTTTTTAAATAGTCTCCTTTCCAGCCTGAGGTCTGGAGGAGGCTCTTGAGAGTCCCCTGAACTGCAAGGAGAACAAACCTATCCATTCTGAAGGAAATCAACCCTGAGTGCTCACTGGAAGGACAGATCCTGAAGCTGAGGCTCCAATACTTTGCCCATCTCATGAGAAGAGAAGACTCCCTGGAAAAGACCCTGATGCTGGGAAAGTGTGAAGGCAGGAGGAGAAGGGGCCGACAGAGGACGAGATGGTTGGACAGTGTCATCAAAGCGACCAACATGAATTTGACCAAACTCCGGGAGGCAGTGGAAGACAGGAGGGCCTGGCGTGCTCTGCTCCATGGGGTCATGAAGAGTCGGACACAACTTAATGACTCAACAATAACAAGAAGAAGTGATGGGCATGAACCTCAGTTTGGAGAGGAGGAGAAAGATAGAGAAGGAGGGGAGTCTGCGCCCGCCGGAAGATTGGGGGATCCACCCAAGGAGGTGGGAGAAGAGAATCGACACAAACCTCCAAACCGAGGTTCATGCCCATCTCTAGCTCTGAGGAATGAGCTGGCTATGTCCTGACAGGCTCTATAGGGCTTGAGTCCAAGCCTTGAGATTTGCAGTATCCTTCTTTCTGTCCAGCCACCTTTAAAAAAACAGATTTGGTGAAGACAGGCTTTTTCAGGGGTTGCTCTCAGACTATGGAAATTCCTGTGGAAGGTGAGCTTCCCCACCTCCCTGACCAGCATATAAAGACCTTCCTATTGAGGCAGGCCTTCAGCAACTCAATGATGGCTGACATGGGCTTTCAAGGATGCCCTGCACTTTATTCATATTGGTAACTATTATTTTTAATGCTTTCTAACTGGTTACATTTCAATGGGATAAAGAATTTAATCATAGCTTTGTAGGTCAAAACCAGCACCTTGAACTGAGCACTTTTCAGCCTCAATATTTTAATGATTGGTTAGATTTTGTTTGTATCCAGCATTGCTTGCAAAAATTGGGGCCCAGGGCAGCTTCCAATATAATTGAAAAACACTTTTTAAAAAAATAATAATAATCACAAATACTGAAACAGCAATGTCTACGTTGGCTTGGGCATGTCGTGAGAATGGCTGACAGTTGGATTTCAAAAGATCTCCTCTATGGAGAATTAGTGCAGGGAAAGTGCCCCAGAGGGAGATCACAGCTGCAATACAAGGAGATCTACAAGCGGGATCTGAAGGCCTTAGGAATGGACCTCAACAGATGGGAAACCCTGACACCTGAGCATTCAGCCTAAGGCAGACGTTGCATCACGGCCTCTCCCAATTTGCAGAGACTCTTGTCCAGCAGGCTGAGGCAAAGAGGCAGTCCCGAAACCAGCAAAATCAGGGAGCTGGACAGGGACAGACTGCATTTGTCTTCAGTGTGGAAGGGATTGTCACTCTCATATTGACCTTCTCGGCCACACTAGATGCTGTTCCGAGACCTCTCTATTCAGAGCACGTTACCATAGTCTCTCGAGAATGAAGGATGCCTACACACATCACAAATAATAAGACACAAGAAAAAGGCTTGGGAGTAGGATTTCTGAGAGACAGCTTCCTTCCAAATGGGCCTGCCTTGAATTTGTCTTCAGTAAAGGCCTTGTTGAATCTCCCACTAGCCTGAGACAACTGGTTGATGAGTATGCAATGAAGGGCTTTCTCTGTAATGGGCTATCAATGACAGAAGTCCATCCCAAGGGAAGTCAAACCAATTACATCACTGCTGAGGTTTCAATGGGCAGCCAAGACGGTTTGATATGACTTTGGTTTGTAAAACATTTCTAAACACTGGCTTTTACTGTTCTTCTTGATAAGCGTCTAATTTATGTTGATAATTTTTTAAGGTTTTAATGTCATCTTTTCTCTGACGTTAATGAATGCTTTTCCTTGAGAGCCAGTGTGATGAGCAGTAGACAGAGTGATGGACCAGGACTCAGGAAACCTGGGTTCAAACTCCTAATAAGCCATGGAAACCCTCCGGCAGGCTGGCTACAGTAAACCACCCCTCCAAGACCTCACATAATTCAAAAACGTTTGCGGGCTCGCCACAAAGCAGACTTAACACACAAGGAATGTTTCTGGGTTTTTTGGGGGTTTTTTGCTTTTGTGCATCTCTTTGGGGTACCTCCAGAACCGACAGGTGACTACTAAGTCCTTTACAAAATAAATAAATAGTACAAAGGTGGGGATTCTTTGTTTGTTTGTTTTGTGATAATGAGATCTGAAAATGTTGCAAGCTGTTCTGAAGAACGCACTGGCCTTAGGGTATCCTGGAAATGTGTATCCAAAGAAGCAAATCTTCTTATCGATGTTGTAGCTGCATGCTCAATTTGCCTCTTCTTCCTGTCCTAATTCTGCTTCTTCTACAAATTTTGTTTTCCACATTCCTACCCTATCCTTTTTCAAACAGAATCCGAAACGGCATACATAGGGTTGCAAGATTATTACCTGGCCAGGCAATGACAGGACCCAGATTTCCTTAGCGTCAGCAACGCAACCAAGAGATTAAACACCCCTTAAGCTCTGTTCAACTGTTAGTTACCTGGATCTTGGCAATATGCTTGAAGAACTAAAGTTCCTAGACCACAACCTCCATGAGGAGAGCAACCTTTATGCCGAGGGAGAGGTTCCTGATCATATGTATGTGTGTCACATTAGCAAGAGCCCGTTTTCCATGATTCTTGCTCCCAAGTAGAGATGACACATGGTTAGAACTTGTCTCCTGTTCACACAGGTTGCTCTTTACACAGAAAAAGTGACTGAAGATGGCAGTGATAAAGCACTCTTTCCTAAGTGTGCTGCCAAGAACCAAACAAGGAACAACTAAGTAAAAGCTGAAAACATTTCCCCAAGGGAATAGCAAAAAAAAAAGAGAGAGAGAGAGAGAGTTGTAGCAATTCACTCTATCTTGCTGGGAGGACAATATCTGGAAGCCGCTAAAAAGTACAATTCTTTAAAATAAGGCACCAAAAATTAAAGTTTTATTAAGAACCAGAACTGGGCTTCTGTCATGCTGCAGCAGTCTGCATAAACTGTATCTGGTGAGCAAAACTTGATCTTGTCTGTCTTTGACCCCAATGCAACACTCCAACTTTACAATGGCCTTTTACCTTGTCGTTTAGTCGTTGCCGACTCTTCGTGACCCCATGGACCAGAGCACACCAGGCCCTCCTATCTTCCACTGCCTCCCGGAGTTGTGTCAACCCATTAAAAAGGATCAAGACTGCTGATATTCAAAAGTATGCTTCTTCTTACCATTGATTCTGTGGCAGGTTCAGAGTGATGCTGCCTTTGATTTCCTCCCCGAAGCGCATATACCCCAAGGTGGCCAATGTAATATACAAGGTCATCACAATTCCCATGCCAACGTTGAGTGCCAGCGGGAAGCGTTCCGTTTCTTTCATCCTGTTTTGGAGGGGGAGGACCTGGGAGAGGGAGGACAGCACATGCATGCAGGATTAGTTCATGAGTCATCCAATTTTCTTCTAAAAACTTTTTGCTATTTAAAACAACAACAACAACAACAACAACAACAACAACAACAACAACGATGATGATGATTGAAGCTTTTATCCAAAATATTCCAAAGAGACATAATTCTGGGACAACTACAAGCAGCTTGACTATTACACCATTGAAAAGGATTTTTAACCCATCTAGTCCAACCTCCTGGATGAAGAGGGAAATCCAGAGCTAAAGCACACTCTACAGATGGCTGAAGACCTCAAAGCAATGGAAAGTCCACCATTATTATTTATCCTGTCTTGAACACCCTGTATAGTTGTGAGGTGATCTGATTTCAGAAGGAACAAAGGCTCTCACTCAATTGAAGGCAGCCTTCCATGCTCCTATCCCTCTGGGTAATTTTCTCCTTTTTTGAATTGTTCTTACCACTAAGAATTACCCTGCTGTCCATTGAAATCTAACCTCCTCAACTCTGAAGACTAATTAGGGGTAGGAAGACTTCAGGCTTGTGAGATCTATGATTTGTTTTGCTTTTCTTAGACCTCAAATACCACCAAGCAGAGCAAGGTGTAGATCCAATGATTCAGTGTAATTGATGGAAGTATTGACTCACCTGAATAAACAAGGCTCCTTTAGTTTGGCTTATCTACTGGATTTCAGCCATGAAAATTTGTATGGAAGAATTCTAAGCTCTGAAGTTTGTTTGTGTACTAGGAAATGAATAGAGTTCACAACTCAATTCCACTTATGGTCACTCCAGACTATATTCATTTCAGCTGTATAATTTAAGATGGAGGTGGGTGGGAGGTAATTTTACTCTGCTATTATTAAACAGCTGGGAAGCAAGAAGCCCTTGCTGCTCTCCTATGAGTCACCAGTATATCCAGAACTACCTCCTGCCCACTCTTGTATTAGATCAAGCCCCTGATCTCTGTGGACATCACTCTTCGTGACAACCGCAAGGTACCTAAAGTATCGTATTATGTTTGCCCTCTTCTCCAAGCTAAATATACAGTCCCTTCAGTCATTCCTTACAGGACTTGTTCTCCAAATCCCGAGCATCTTCACTGCCCACCTATGAACCTATTTTTTATTAGTATTACTTTGTTGGTAGTTTGAATATTTTAGCCCATATCCACTGAAAGTCTGATTGTCAAAATATCTCAGATGAAATCCTATTGTGGGTACAAAAACAGTCCAATTGCAGGAAATATCCATTTCCCTTAATGTTTTACTTTGATCGTATGCTCTTCCTGAACTGCAGCAGCATCTCAGAAGCATGCAGGACAATGTTCGCTATTAAATTCTGACAGATTTTAAGTGGTGATTAATGTGGGGGATGAAAAGAAGGGAGAAAGAGGTCATATTCAGTACCAGACTCCATGATATAAGTTGAGGTTAGCAGTGGATCCAAAGAGTTCAGATACTGATGCTTTCCATGGACAAGGTCTCAAGTTTAATCTCTAGCACTTCCCATTAGAAGGCTTTCAGATGAAAGAGCTAGGCATGCAAACAGTTACTTCTGGTCACTTGGAGATACAGGGCGGAATTTATATGCTGGCATGTACTGTAGATTCATTTTGATGCTTTTGAATTGTGGTGCTGGAGGAGACTCTTGAGAGTCCCCGGACTGCAAGGAGAACAAACCTATCCATTTTGAAGGAAATCAACTGTGAGTGATCACTGGAAGGGCAGATCCTGAAGCTGAGGCTCCAATACTTTGGCCATCTCATGAGAAGAGAAGACTCCCTGGAAAAGACCTGATGTTCAGAAAGTGTGAAGGCAAGAGGAGAAGAGGACAACAGAGGATGAGATGGATGGTCAGTGTCATCAAAATGACCAACATTAATTTGACCCAACTCCGGGAGGCAGTGGAAGACAGGAGGACCTGGCGTGCTCTGGTCCATGGGATCACGAAGAATCGGACACGACTAAACGACTAAATAACAACATGTAGATTCTGGGAACTTTCATCCAAAAGTGTAAAAAAATTTCAAAATCTGCAGCAGCATGTATCTACAAAACAGCTGAGTTGACCATCACAGCCTTACCTTGTAAAAAACATACACATCAGAGAGCCTTTCCCAATCTGGTTACCTCTGGACATGCTTGCTATGGAATGATGCAAGTTCAGTATATCTGATGGGCACCAGGTTACAGAATACCTCAAATAGCAACAGCCAACATAGTAACTGCACTCACAAGAAGAGTGAAATTAATTATTTGCTACAATCCTGTTGCACAGGCCTGCATGCACCACTCGGACAGCAGCAGCAAATAACTGCTCATTAAATGCATACCGCCATTGATTAAAAGCAATTTAAAGGTGTTTATAACTAAATTCAGTGCAATGAAGCTGCATGCACCACAAAATTGCCAAAGAAAGCCTTTAATCAGTAGTGATTTGCCAGTGATGCTGATGTCATTACCATTCTGCATGTGGAACTACACAACAGGATTTCAGCTATTAGAAGGTTTTTGTGTTCCACTTCTCTGGTATCTTATCACATCAATAAAGACAGAAGTATATTAAAAAAAACAAGACACTGAGAACAGGGATTGAAAGAATGATGAGTGAGTAACAAGAAACAAAATGAGTAAGAAAAATAAAGTCTTGTCTTATGCAATTACATTACGTTGAAGCAACTTGACAGTGCATAACAGCAAGCATTACTTTTCTTTTCAGTTTTCTTTCCTGCCACATATAGAGATGGTGAAGGAAGAAATGTTCTCCTTTCTGTATGGTAAATGCACATGCATAGCTAAAGCCTAAGGAATATATATATATGTTTACCTACTTCTGCAAGTTTGTGTGTTAATCTTCTCTAAACCTGATTTTTACCACTGGACTGGGAACGCTTGTCCATGACCTTGACAGAAGCTGGAAGGAGGTCAATGGAGAGCAATATTGTTGGGGAAGGAAACAGAAATCAGAAGAAGCAATTAATGGCTTTGTCCTCCCCCTGTTGATATATCCCAGTGTGGGGAGTTCTGCATCTGTTCCCAGAAATCTATTTCCACCTAGTGCTTCTTGAATAGGGAGTGTTTTTAAAAGTGCTTTTATCTGCATTTTAATTTGTTTAAATAAATAAGTAAGTAAGTAAGTAAGTAAGTAAGTAAGTAAGTAAGTAAGTAAGTAAGTAA